TGGGTGGCGAATCATCATGGAACCTCAATCCTTATTGGCCCAGGTGTACAAAGGGAACTATTTCCCCAGGGGGACTTTTCTGGAAGCGACGGCGCGGTCACGCCCGTCATGGGGGTGGCAGAGCATTCTCTTTGGTCGACAGCTGCTGGAAAAGGGAGTAAGATGGCAGATTGGTAATGGTTGTTCGGCCTCGTTGCTCCATTCAAACTGGATACCCCGGCTTCAATTAGACCCTCCTAGGTATAATCCTCAGGTGTTACCAGAAGGGGGGGACCCGCGGGTAGAGGAGGTTTTGTGTCCTGGCGAGGGGGCGTGGTGTGATCGTAAACTGCAGCAGTGGTTTGATCCACCGACCTGTCAGGCCATTAAAGCGATCCCTTTGCCTCGGAGGGATGTCGAGGACCGATTGATCTGGCATGGTACTATTGATGGAGTTTTCTCTGTTAAGTCTGCTTATCATCTGGCTGTTGATGTGGATAGGAGGGAGGGTAGATGGAAGTCTCTGGTTGGATGGATGGACAAGCCTAGCTGGGTTCGTTTGTGGAATGCGGATATTCCTCCGAAATTGAAGGTCTTTATTTGGCAGATCCTTAGCCGTGCGTTGCCAACAACGGAGGCTCTCTTGGAGAGGAAGGTGGAGGTTAATCCTAGATGTCCGGTCTGCTGGGAGGGTAAAAAGACCCTGGAGCATCTCTTTCTTGATTGTCCAGTGGCTCGTGCCTTATGGGACTACTCGGGACTGGACTACCTTGGAGAGGGATTGCCTAGGCATACCTTTCCGTTGTTTCTGAAGAGACTGTTAGCTCTGGTGCACAACCCGGCGTTATTCATGAAGGTGGTGGCCATTCTTTGGCGAATTTGGTGGTCTCGGAACTGGGTTGTCTTTGAGGGCAAGCAGTTTGGGATCCGGGCCTTGATGCGTCAACTCCACCAGCAGTATGAGGAGTGGGTGGGTCTCTCTGCGGGTCCGCCACGGTCGCCGGCATCTTTGGTACATGGGCCATCCCTTGCTAGTTCTGTGGAGGACACTAGGACGGTTTGTATGTGGGATGGTGCCACGCGGTGTGGTTCTCACTCTGCGGGTGGGATGGTTCTTATGACACATGCTAGGGAGATCCTTGTGGCAAGAGGAGTCCAGTTCCCTTTGATTGATGACCCGACAGTGGTGGAATTGCTGGTACTCAGGGAGGCGATCGTGTGGTGTCTGGAGTTGGGCTTTTCGGAGGTTAGGATGGAAGGGGATGCTAAAGTGCTCATTGATAAAATCAACAAGGCTGATGTGCCGGATAACAAGGTGGGGGCTGTGCTGGAAGAAATAGGATATTATTTTCAGGCCCATCCTGGTTTTTCTATACGATTTGTAGGTCGGCGTAACAATAGGGTAGCCCATGTGGTGGCTAGAAAGGCCCTTTCATTGTACCCGACTATGAGTTGGAGTTTTGATTTTCGTACCTGGCTTGAGTCCAGGATGTAACTATCGTTTACTTATATCAATATAAGATTATCTTTTGTAAAAAAAAAAAATTCCTAAAGCACACCAAAATCATCCTAATGCAGACCACAAATTTCTTGAAATAGACCAGAAACACCATAAAGCAAATCACAAATATTTTTATATCACACCAGAAACCTCCAAATGTAAACCCACAAAACTCCTAAAGCAAACCAAAAACACTACAAAGCATACCAAAAATATCTTAAAGCATACCACAAACACAAGAAAACAAACCAGAAACAAGAGAAATCAAACCACAAATCTCATAAGGTAGATCATAAAATTTGACAACTAGTGAACGATGACTAAACTTCGGTGATCAACGACCATTATATCATATGATGCACTCCATTTTAATGTGTGTCATGACATTACCATCGAATATAAACAAGTTATTTTAACAAAAAATTGTCCTCCAACTTACTAGCTCAATTCAATGCTAGTTTATAAATTACATAAAGTCTATGATTTATCGATGCATTACATCTGATTCATTCTCTATGAGAGAATCCGAATTGTTATTTCAAAATTTATCTATTCTTTATCTTTTTCATAGAAATTCATCTTCCAAGTGTCAGGTAGAACGAATTATTTAGCTTGGGTAAAGGACAAGGTTGGTCACTAAGCTTATTAAAAAAGTTCATGTTTGGTCACTAAAAATATATAATTCCATTCATGGTCACTAAGTTTACTAAAACGTGTCATGTTTGGTCACTCTCCGTCCAACACCATTAACTTTGTCTGATGTGGTAGTCAACTCTCAAAGTTGACCATTAAATTTATTATGTGGCAATTGAAAATTAATAAAAATAATAATTTTAAATATTCCACCTCGTTATCACTACTATTAAAAATAAAAATTTAAAATATTCATTTTAAATCCCTAAACCTAAGGAACTCATCTCACCCCTCTTTCTCACTGTCGACTGAAATTGGTAGAGGGAAGAAGAGGTGAGGTGGAGCTCTCCTAACCGGTCGAGGAACATGACGGATCCGACGCAAAACCTCTTCTTGCTAGGGATGGCAAACCAGATCCGACCCGATGGATTTTCTCTGATCCGATCTAAAATGGAGCGGATAAAATCCGATCCATTTATGAAGGGGCGGATCTCGACCCGACCGACCCTCTCTGATCCGCCCTGCTCTGCCCCGTCGATTAAACTCATGCGAAGTGGAAGGGGAGACCTTGGCGATTGATCTTCCATGTCTAGTTTGATTCCCCAATTCACAACCGGCAAGCATTGTTTCTCATTAACACTTCACCAACACCAATATCTACACTCGTCACTCGAGACCTATCCCCAATCACAGCCCTTATCGATTCATCTCCCTCTCCAAAATCCCAAAATCCCACTCTACCGTCCTATATAAGATACAAAGATGATCGAACAAGTACTGCCCTCTTCTTCCTCCTCCTCTTTCTATTCTCATTCTGACGTCGTCGGTGGTTGGGGAATCGAAGACGGAAGACAACCAAATTCCGGCCAAGCTTCCCGCAATCGCGGTCAACATTCAGCAAGTGGTTGGGAAATTAGAGAAATCTTAGATTCAGGTTCGATTCTGTAATGTTTATTTTCCCTCTAGTTCGATTGATGTGTTTCAATTTATTTTACTTGGAACCTGCTCAGAATAGTTTTTCAATTTCAAAATTCAAGTGGGTTTGGATTTGATTTGTTTAGTTTCATATAATAGTTGCATCCTACAAAGCATGGTTCAAATAGGACCTGGTACGCAATTCTGGAACTTCTAGGCACAGGGAGTCTTGGCACTAGTTCCATTTTCTACCCAGACTTGAAGGAGGCTATCGATTGTTGTGGAAATGGTAAGTAGGGATTGAGCTAGCTTTGAAAGACAAGGAGATCAGATCCTATTGTGAAGGTTTTTGAGTCATTGTGAAAGTGGTTTTTTCCTTTTCTTTTTATTCCCCAGTTTCACTTGGCACTTGTTTTCTATGGGTGGTGTTGTTGTGTATTCTCTTAAGTATTTTGTACCATGCTTTTGTTTTTCCATACATTATAATCAGAAGAACTTCACTTAATGGGGAAAAAACTTGACCTCCCCTCTGCTTAGTTTGGCCTTATGGATGTGTGATATTTCTCATTTGTTCACCATGTAGATTGAACTAATGTTATAGTTTTTGGATGGACAGAATATGGACAAGGAAAATCAAGTCGGTCGGGCTGTTTCGAGCTTAGAGACCACTTCCCAACCTGAACTTGTTGTTGCACCTCAATCTGTTGCTGGTGAACCTGCGATTGAGGCAGTCCCCCCTGCAAATAATGTTGAGAAGGAGAAGCGCAAGGGTGCAACATCAGGCAAGGTGTTCTCAGTGTGATGGAAACACTATAATAGAGTTACAGTGGATGGTAAACCAAAAGCCGAGTGCAAGTACTGTAAGAAGAAGCTTGTTGGAGACCCATCACAAGGAACAACACATCTGAATAATCATTACTTCAGATGTACTAAAGTGAAGTGGCCTGGAGATATAAAGTAGCAACTCTTACAGGGCAGTCTGAACAATGAAAAATTCTAGTTGACACCGTTCAACTTCAGCCAAGAAAATTCTCGCAAAGAACTAGCAACGGCCATTATAAAACATGAGTATCCTCTATCGATCGTGGAGCATGAAGGTTTTCAAAGTTACAGTACGAGTTTGAACCCCTACTTTAAGATGGTGTGCAGAAACACCATAAAAAAAGACTGTCTCACCATTTATGGTCTAGGAAAGCAATATGCAATGCAACTTTTGGCGAAGAATGATGGTCGAGTGGCAATAACCACGAACATGTGGACATCTTCTCAGAAGAAAGGTTACATGGTAGTGACCGCGCATTACATTGACAATAATTGGAGATTACGAAGTCGAATTATAAGGTATGTTTTTGTTATATTCTCTTATTGTTGTTATTTTACTATGTTGTACTGCATAGTTGAATTGTGCTTTGTAAAAGTTGAGTTGATTCATCCTTATTCCACTCTATTTCAATATAACAGTTTAAGCTGATGTGAATTTTTGTGATTTTACAGCTTCATCTATGTGCATGCCCCACACACTAGTGAAGTTCTTAGTGAAGCTCTTTTGGATTGTCTAATGAACTGAAATCTTGGCCACAAATTATCATCTGTTACAGTTGATAACTTCTCAACAAACGATGCAATGATGAGTCGCCTTATCGAGAAACTTCCTTTGGGGTCTCTTTTGGACAATGGAAGTATGCTGCATATGCGATGCTGTGCACACATACTGAATCTTATTGTCAAAGAAGGTCTCGCGGTTATTGTAGATGGCATAGAAAGGATTAGAGACCGTGTTCGGTTCTGGTTGGCGACTCAAAAGAGATGGGAAAAGTTTGAGGAGACTGTTCGACAGCTTGAAGCTGCTCGCCTCATTTGTAATATGCATGGTAAGAAGCTTATACTTGACTGTGAAACAAGATGGAATTCAACGTATTTGATATTGAATACTGCTTTGGGATATAAAGAAGCCTTTAGTTGTTTGAAAAATCGGGAGTCAACAAACAAATGCTTGCCTACTAAGCGTGATTGGAATTTGACAGAAGCAATTTGTAATAGGCTGAAGAAGTTTAATGATGCCACTGAACTATTCTCTGGCACCAAATATCCCATTGCAAACTTGTGTTTTGAAGTAGTTTGTGAGATTAAAATTGCTTTGGGTCAATGGTGTGTTTGTGGAATTCAAACCATTGAAACTATGGCCATGAATATGTTAGAAAAATTTGACAAGTATTGGTTTGAGGTGCATGTTTTAATGGGGGTAGCAGCTATACTTGATCCAAGGTATAAAACAGAAGTTATGGACTGTTACTTTCCTGAGATTTATGGAGAAGAAAGTGGCAGTAAAAAGGAGAAGCTTACTAGTATTTGTCGTAAGTTAGTTGAGGACTATGAAGATAAGGAAAAAGAGCAAGAAAAAGAAACAGATTGCACTCAACTGAGCAGTTCACGAGCTGCTGCAAGTGAGAACGAGGTAACAAGCAAGTTTGCTTAGTATGCTTCTACAAGGAAGAGGAAGCCTTCAAGGTCAGAGCTGGATTCTTACTTGGAAGATGGGATTATAAACAACACACCTGATTTCGATGTGTTGTGTTGGTGGAAATCAAACAGAAGCAAGTACCATATATTGCATAAGGTTGCAAGGGATATACTGGCTATTCGTGCTTGAACAGTGGCCTCAGAGTCTGCCTTTAGTACTAGTGGAAGAGTGATTTCTTATCATCGCAGTAGGCTGCATCCAGATAATGTTGAGAGCTTGATGTGTGCTCAAAGCTGGTTGCATGGCACTTCTCAAGGTAAGCAGTAAGCATTATATATATATATATATGGTGATGACTGGTGTACGTCAGACGTATAGTATACGTCAGGTGATCTAGCCGTTAGATGAGCTCCGGCCGATCTCAACGGTCAATTTTTGTTTTTCATTAAATCAAACTTCGGGTTAGGGTTTAGAAAATCGGTGCCTAGGGTTTATCCATTAGAGGTTAGGGTATAGTATCATACCTCAAACTCGATTTAATTCATGGTCTAGATAGAGATATCTCACTAGTAGTACCTGACGTATAGTATACGCCTGACACGCGCACACACACACACATATATATATATGGTGCCTTCTACGGTATATAAAGCTTTGAGTTTTCTAACTTGTTGATTTTGAATGCAGCAGCAGGTTCCACATTAGAGAAGGCCAGGAATGGTACTGTACTTGAGGATTCAGATGCAAAGTCCGAGAATGAGGCTGAGGTAATAATTTCAGCACCATTTCCTTTTCAGTTCTCACTTGCAGTAGCTAGCTAATAGTACAACGGTGCAATAGAGAACAAGACAAAATGTTTATGATTTAAAATGGATAGGGTTTGGTGGTTTATGTATGTAAACAGGTGGTGCAAGTTACTGGAGGCAAAAGAGACTGATAGTCTTAAGCCTATAGGCTACATGGAGGCTAGCAGATGTGGGTGGTTGGGTGTTGCTGGGTGTTCTCAGTTCTGATGGTGGGTTTGGTGGTTTTCAACTTGCTGCTGTTGCATGAAGATTGAAGAACATTGGAGCTTTTTTTTATGGTGGCTTTTTTCAATTAAGAAACTTTCTTAATTCTTAGTTGAATTTGAACATTAAAGCTTTTGTGGGATTTTCCTTTTTTATTGGGATTATTGTTCATCAGGATTTCCCTTCAGTTTATGATTGATTTAAGCCTTTCTCATGTGTTGCAACTTTCAAATGCATGTTGTCATATATAAACAGATCAGGGCGGATATTGCCTGATCCGTGCAGGGCAAAGAATGGGTCAGAATTCAATGACCCATCCCGGGGCACGGGGCAGAGCAGATCATTAGTTTAGGGGTCAGGGCAGGGCACGGATTCATCATGATCCGCCCCAAACCTGCCCCGATGCCATTCCTACTTCTTGCATGGCCTACTTCCAATTGCTTGGTGTCCCAATTGCTAGAAGAGACCTACAAGGAACAAAGCCCCTTTTCAGAGAACCGTGTCTGCGAGTTAAACCTTTCAAAACCCCTAATTCCCTCCGACGACCCGTCTCCGCTGCTCGCCAACTCTTCTCTTCCTCACCTCCACAAGCTTTCGGATTCCATGAATTTGTTGTTGCTTTCAGCTCCATCTGGATAGGGTGATCGCTCGAAATCGCTCCCTTGCGAAATCGAATCTTAAACCCCTCTTCTGCCTTTCTCGCTTCTCCCAGTCTCTCCAAGCCCATTTTCTCCTTCCATCTACAGCACAACACCACCGTTTCGCCGACGGAAAGAACCCCGCAGTCTCTGCTTCTCCATTTTCTTCCTCGTACTCCTCTCATTACCCTTTCACTTCATCGCAGATTCTGCGTCAAACCTTCTGCCACAGATCCCAGTTATAAATCCAAAGAGTGCGCGGGTGGTACCCATTGCGCTAGGGTCGCAAGCCTCCGGTTCTCTGAAAAGGGGTTTTGTAATCGCTTAATAGTAGCAAGAAGAGGTTTTACGCCGGATCCGTCATGTTCGTCGGCCGGTTAGGACAGCTCCACCTCGCATCTTCTTCCCTCACCGATTTCACTCGACGGTGAGAAAGAGGGGCGAGATTAGTTCATTAGGTTTAGGGATTTAAAATGAATAATTTTATTTTTTTATTTTTAATAGTAGTGATAATGAGGTGGTCAAGTTATTGATTTCAATTACCTTTGAATACTCTTCTAGAGTTTCAACTCATTCAATAACTGCTTATCTTTGAATACTCTTCTAGAGTTTAAAACCTATTTATACTTTCAATCTCAATTGGAAATTATCGTTTATAAATGTGTCGACACCCCAAAGGTGGCAAAGAATTTGTCAACTCATTGTCATAAGAATTTTGGTACCTTCAACCAATGATTCTTTATCAGAACACTTGAAACAATCACTGTAAGGTATTCAAGGTAAATGCATTCGTCTTTCTCGACATATTCTTCCTTTCTTCATCGAGACTGTCATTTTTTCTATGCTCTTTCAATTTGATTTAGGAGGTTTATTGAGTTGAATAATGTTTCGTAGAACATTAACATATTTGGTTCGAGCAAACTAACTCCTTCAGAGAGTTTTATATTGATATCATCATCAAGCATGCTTTATAAGTGCACCTGTAATAACATTCAGTGGATGCATATATAACTTTCTCACACTGCCAAAAATCATATCCCACAAATAAGCGTGACTGCGTAAGTCTCCTCACTATCAATAGCAAATAATTTTACGAAGACCCTTATGACAATTTGAGCATGATATCTCTTAATCCCTCCCCCTTTGTCATGTCTTCGTAAAACATCGTGCGTGTTTTACTGGCATTACATGCACGTATGTGGGTATGTTTTGTAGGCTAGTTCTTAACTGCCTCACATGCATCGTTACAGCCAATCATTTGAATATATTGATCAATAGATCTAACATCATGATCCTCATGTTAATTATCATATTGCGTGCTACAATAGATAAACATTTATTGTCAATGTTGACTTCCTTTTGATTCCATTGAATCTCATCCAATATATAATTTTTTTTTATTTCTTTCATAATCTCGAAACAAATACATGTCGTTCTTCCATACCAATGTTATAATACTCGGAGATTCAAATAAGCTTGCAATATCCTCATCATAAAGACCATCTTTATTTTGAGCTCCTTTTATTTTTTTAGGACTTGTATTTCCTTGGAATCAATAGTTTCAACACATTATATATGTGTGTAACATATCCTTCGAGGATATAATTCATAGGAGCATTAGCAGCTTTTGTGACTTAGTCACTCCTTTGTGATCATTAATTACGCCTGTCAGTAGGCTTACCAAACTTGACAAATGAATTATCATTGAACTTCAAGTTCACATTACAAGTGTGCGGATCATAATATATTTCAATCAATTTTAGAATCAGATGCTTATTTTTGCCCATGATATTGGAAAGGTCGAAATAACGATTTCAACAAATATCACATAATTGATTTACTACTCTCATCAAAATAATGGAGACTTCTTGCTCAACATTAGTTTCAAATATCCTTTGAAGAACCCATCTTTGTAAATTGTGATGGAACAATTTACAACATATAATCCATCATAAAGTCTTTTATGGGAATTTTAAAGTTCCTGACCAAAACCAATTTGTACAGGGGTTTAGTAGTGACAACTTCTTGGCAAGATGCCAAATCGATACTGCTACATGCAACTGCCATGTCTTCAATAAGTTGTTTCACAATCTTATGCACAAGCATGTGCTACATGACGTTTGATATTGAAACCAATAATATGAGATTTAAACCCACCAATAATTATCGAAGTATTTTCTTCATATTGAACATTCATTCATATATGCCCATAAGTGAATCAATTGTGCAACCAATCTTGCAAACTTCCGGTTGCAAGTGGAGTGACTATTTAGACGATGCATCGATTTAAAGCATAGAATAACGAAATGATCCATATGGTGCACTGATCCAATAATTCACAATCTATATACTAATCACTTCTTACTTTCATTGGTGATCTCATAACCTACTTTCCTTGAGAACAAGCGACACAAGAAAAATCCTTCATTGTGGATTTTTGCTAATATTCTCATCAACGATTTATATGAACTCTCGATCATACTTTGCATCAGAATTGACCCAGCCTTTAGGTTTACGGTTCGTTTCATAACCTTTTGCTTCAGAAAGAAGGATTAACTGCGAGTAGTAATTCAGCATAATAGCATGTATTATGCAATACGTTAAGAATAAAGATAACAATAGGGGACGCGGTCGAAGTGGTACGGCTCTTTGACCTCAACTGGAATGTTGTAGGTTCTAGCCACATTGACGCCAGATTTCGAACCCTAAAGATTCTTTTAATAAACCATATCACTATATATGGTAGATATGCTTCTGCCATTTTATGTGGGTTATGTTTACCGACACATTGCCCTACCAAATATAACACAATATCTCAGTATTGTTGCCTGATAATTCTGATATGCTTCTGGCCTTTTGTGGTAATGTCGACCGACATATTACCCTATCTCTTTTGTTTCTTTCCAAAATTTCGAACCAAAATCTTCTTAATATTATCCAAAATGTACAACATCAACATCCTTATCTTATCCCCCTTTTCGTCTACAAAACAAAAATCTTCGTCCGTTTCATTTTAGTATACTAAAACCGAAAAACTCAAACATCATCTCTCAATTCCATCATTCTTCTTCCCTTCTTGGGAAATCTTCTCGTCATAAGTCACTTTAGTGATCTTATCGAGTTCGAGTGAAGCAATGAGTGAAGAAATGTCTCCCAAAGAGATCATAGATGGATTGATTTTCTTCTTCTTTGTAGCAATTCTCTTTTTAATTGGAGGTTCTTTTCAAATGGAAGATCATGATCGAAAACGTTTTCTCGAGGAACTAAAGCGTCAGGATCGTAAGCGTGATTAGATTTCTCTTGTTTGATCCATGTTTGGTAGTATGAAAATGAGACTTAGATCTCTTATCATGTATGATGTAAGAATCCTATGAATAAAATGAAGTTTAAGTACCTCTTTTTTATTATCAAAAAGTAAACTTTTACTTCCGAAAAGTTTGTGGTATATACTATATACTATATTCATCATCATGTTGGAGTCAAGTCATAAATTAATCATTAACTTCAATGGATCGTCTTATGAGTAATACTCCATAAATCATTATATCAAATTGGCATATAATCAAATACGTCAGATCCCACTTTGGGTAAGCCTTTAAACGCTTTGCCATAAAAATCTTCAGGATATGATCACTTTATTCAAATGATTCTTGATCAAACCCCTGAAATGATTCAACATACAACTGGTACGGTATACATATTGCCAATATCTTTATCCCTTTTAATAAATCATCGATTAATCCGATGAACTATTTTACGTACAACTGGTACGCAGACGTTCTTTGTCCCTTTTAATAACCAACAAGTTAATGTTTCACTCACTACAACAAATTCGGCCTATTATGACGAGGAAACTTTGTCATATTAGATACCATTTTTGTCATATAAGGTATAATATGACAAGAGCTGTTGTCACAAAGGTTTGTCATTTTATCGCCGTCAGGATAGGTCAAATGTGACAAAAATTTAAAACAAGGTTGTCACATTTACTTTCAGTATAACTAAGGTTCCGGGTCATCTATTGTGACAAACAGAGATGTTATGACGACATATTTTGTCATTACGATTGTCATAATATGGTAATTTTGGGAGAATTATTCGTCATATTACACTATTATATTTTGTCATAACTATATATTATGACGACTACATTTTGTCACAAGTGTCTATTGTGACGACCTTATTTTGTCATAACTAAATATTATGAGGAATATACTTTGTCATAACTGCATATTATGACTAGTATAGGTTGTCAGGAAATGTGGTTTCATTTGTCTTATGTCTAATATGACAAGAGAACAATTTGTCTGGCAATGTACATAATGTGACGACATGACATTGTGGTCACATTTGACCTGCTTCAAAAATTTCATAATTCAAAATTGTTTCCTGCATTGCAACTTGATAATGGAAAGATTACCAAAGATCCAA